GCCTGAAGATTCCCGTTTATCCCGGGTCCTGTTTGATTATGAGAGCAGCTTCCAAATCAAATAAGTTGTTTTGCTGTTCCGTCAGTCCTCTTCCTGCAGAGACTACGAGGGGACGCCTCGTTCCTCCAAATCAAACACTCCTCACACATTTTAATGACAGCTTTTTTTTTTCCTCCCACTGGGATTACATTTAGTCACCTCATAATTAAACGTCACACCTTTTCCATTAGCGAAACTTTCAGTGTTGTTGAACTTTCTTTGCTCTGAGGTTATTTGAAGGCGTCACCTCCTGACAGTTTCTCTACATTTCCATGTCTGAGCTTTAAAACAGACATTAACGTATTTTCCGCCGTACACGTCGCATCAGTCCAAACATGTTGAATAAAGTGGAAAAAAAAACACAAGTACGTCGCTTCGCCGCATACGTCGCTTCGCCGCATACGTCGCTTCGCAGCATACGTCGCTTCGCCGCATACGTCGCTTCGCAGCATACGTCGCTTCGCAGCATACGTCGCTTCGCAGCATACGTCGCTTCGCAGCATACGTCGCTTCGCAGCATACGCATCTATTATGCATCAACGCTGACCACCCGGAAATGTGGGCCGGTGTTGCAAAAATCAATTGGCTGCCAAGTGGTGGCCGCAGGAGCGTGCACGGGAGGACTTTAACAAGAATTTAACAAAACTGACACTTAAAAACAATTATTTGTTTGCTCGAAATTATAGCAAAGTTGTGTCTCAGTTGAACTTTTCCTTAATAAATGCACTTTAATGGTCAAATCAGCTGCATTTCGCCTGGGCGGAGTGGCAAAATGCAGCTGATCTGACGTTTGCTTCAGGAGTTCTGGAGCAAGACGGAAGTGGCTTGGTATGGCAAGCCAAGTGTCTCATTAATAGCCACTTTTACCTATTAATGAGACGCTTGGCTTGCCATATTAGTCAAGGGCCCTCTAGTGGCTGAAAATGGTAGTGTTCAATATTTTCTATGTCAGAATGAATGAAGTCGTCAGATCTCTGCCAAAAATTGGTTCATAAATATGAGAAAAAATAAATAAATACGTTGCTTCACTGTATAAGTCACAGGCATGCTAATTTATGCAACAACAAAAAAAAACTGTGACTTATACACCGGAAAATACGGTACTTTGAAAGTGGCAGCAACAGTTCTGTTTCCAGTTGTTCTTTAAAATTAGAAACTGTCCTATATTTGGAATTTAAAAAATGAGTTATTTAATAAGTTGAGATAGAACACCCTTAAATGAAACAGGTGAAACCGTCAGAGCTGAAGAATCGTGTCTCTGCAGGAAAACACGTGGAACACAGAAATATTATTTAAGAGCCTAAAAAGTTTAAGCTGCTTTTTGTTGTTTTGGCTTCAGCTGTTTTGTATCTTTGTAAGGTTTACTTTTATAAATTCTCCGTGTTCAGTTGTCCTCCAGTGTTTCATCACCTTCAGTACTTTTCCACAGTCAGCCTCTGCTCCTCAGTTCTGCTCCTCCCACACCTGTTGTCTCAGCTGCAGCCACTTACCTCATCAGTCCCAGCCTTTTAAACCATCTGCAGTCCACCATCGTGTGCTGCGTGGTTCTCCTCGGTGTCACCTCCAGTTTTCATTTTCCCTTTAAGTTTGTTGTTTTTTTAACTCGAGCTCTTTGCGTTTGTCTTCATTCCTGGACTCCATCTCACCACAACCTGACGTTTTCTGGGCCGAGATGGTGTAGAGGCAGGGCAGCCGGCTTGGGACCCGAAAGTCTCAGGTTCGATCCCCAGTCACTGCACATCACGTGGCGTCTCTGGGCAGCACGTCTCATCCCCAAAATGTCCCCCGGGCGCTTTCAATAGCTGCCCACTGCACCACCTGGTGGTGGATGGGTTAAATGCAGAGACTAATTTCGCCATTGTATGGAAACATACAGTGCTGACATTGTGATGACATTATTATTATTATTATTATTATTATTATTATTATTATTATTATTATTATTATTAAGAGCTGAACGGCTGCTGGAACGTGCTGCGGAAGTGGAAACTTGAGTTTAAGCTAAAAGAAGCGAGTTCTTCTATTTTGTGCATCTTTCTTTCAGGAATCAATTCATTTCAAACCCAAAGCAAATTTGTTAAGGGTGTTTGCAGAACAACTAACCAAAGGTTTGTTTTCAAAATGTCAGATGTTCCTCGCTCCACTTCAGGTCAGGCGGGCCGTCATGTGTCGGGACACGTCCTGTTCAGACACATCAAGAATCCTTCCACCAGCTGAGCAAAGCGTTCCACCATCACTCAAGTGGTTTTTTTTGTTTTTTTTAATCCTCTGACAATTTCACATGAAGGAAATGCACATTATTTAACTTTCAAATAGAACAATTAAAAATATCTAAAATCCAAATCATTTCACTTTTTTGATTTCGCATAAAGAAGCAGACAAAAAGGGAAACGGTCACGGACGTGTGCTTTTGAGATAAAAACAACATTTCAGATCTGGATCTTTGCAAACGGCCCGGGTCGACTCTTGTGCTGGAAGTTCTTTGATGTTGGAGAGATTTCTCTGGACGTCTGAAGAGAAACAGACAGACAGATAATGTGCAGACAGAGAGGGGAAGACCAAGCAACAGGACGCTGCTTTACCAGATAAAGGAACCCTTATTTAAAGTTTGAGATGAGAGGAACGACCCGAGAGGCTTTTTATTGGGTTTCAGACAATATGTCCCTGACGAGCAGCTGGAGGACACATTAAGACACGGAGGACGTCCCTCAGACACCCACATCCAGCAGGAAGTTAGGTCCTCCCTAAACTTGATGCTTTTAGCAGATTTGTGTCAGGGGGCTCTAAATAACTAAATAACATCTTATGCAGCTTTCCCTGGACATTTACATTAATTTGTAAAGTAGATGTCATTATTCACTTGTAGAAGTTTGACTGATTTGTGGGAATTAAAGAATAAATGTGTTAATTAGTAAATAAATATAGAATAAAATCAATTAAACCATTGAACTCAGCATTTTATTAGAACCACTTTAGGATGTGGTGTTGTAGAAAAAGCCCGATTCACAAAGGATCAGGTGTAGATTTCATTAATGTAACAACACAAAGCTTGGAGAAGAACCAGTCAGGACACAGACGGACAGAAACTCGCTCTGCCTCACTTCTGATCCCTGATAAGAAAAGGTTCGTTAAACATGAGTCCACCGTGACCTTCAAAAGCTTCGACCATGATAAAAGATGACCTCTCCACCGTCTCCTTAGACTGTCACGTCAAAAATTATTATATCACAGAGAAAGGATCATGAACACGTTGTACTATCGTTCACAATAACAGTAAAAGAAGAGGTTATAAAGACTAATGTAGTCAAATAATAGTGCGTGGTGCATTATTCATACGCACTCCCTCGACGGTGGTTTGAACGAGTTCTGGACTGAAGTCTTGGACGTGTCCTTGGACACGTGTCATGTTTTGTTTCAGGTCAAACTTCCAGAACTTCTTGTTGCCGTTTGATTCAGAAACATTCAAGCGGACACTTGAGAAGAAAACAATTGGTTAAAACATTTCATCTTTTATCCAAAGGACTTCTTCAGTCTGAGAAGCTGCAACAAACTCAGTCTTATAATCAGCACCTTCTCATAGTGGACCAACCAATTTGTTGGTGACATCCAGAACTAGCTGTTCACATGATAAAGGAGGACCAGCAGCCTAATGACCGATCGTTAGTGGCTTGCTATTCACAGAGGGCTGAGTGATATTACCGTATTTTACGCCATATAAGTCGCATCAGTTCAACTATGTCTAATAAAAAAAACGTAAATACGTCGCTTCTATTATGAGTCACCACTGACAACCCAGAAATGTGGGCCGGTGTTGTGCCAACAATTTAAAAACAATTCTTTGTTTGCTCGACATTATATCAAAGGTGTGTCTCAGTTGAACTTTTACTTAATAAATGCACTTCAATGGTCAAAATAGCTGCATTTTGCTGCGGTGGTGCAGAGAAATGAAGCTGATTTGACGGTTGCACCAAGCGAGCTGGACAAAGGTGGCAGGCTATGGCAAGCCGATTGTGCCATTAATAGCCACTTTTGCCTATTACGTGACACAACGACATGCCATACAGCTCGAGTGGCTTCTAGCAGCTGAAAATGGTAGTGTTCAATATGTTCAATGTCAGAATGAATGAAAACGTTCATAACTTGGCCAATAATTGGTTTATAAATATGGGAAAAACATAAATTGGTGTATAAGTCGCAGGGCACGCTAATTATGCAAAAAAATGCAACTTATAGGCCGGAAAATGTGATGGCAATAACAACATTGTGAGAAGGTGATCATTGGACACGTAGGCCGCCGCCCCCGTTGAATGATGAATGTTTTTTTCTTTACAAAGATGTCTTCCTTCACTCCTCTTTCAAATCCTTTTGTGTCCAACTGTCCCCCTCTTACAATGCTGTTATTGCTAATATCACTCAGTCCTCTGTGAATAGCAAGCGGCCACCAGAGCACTAACGATCCTTTATCACGGGAACGGCTAGTTCTGGATGTCATCAACAAACTGGTCGATCCACTATGAGAAGGTGCTGGTTGTGAGTTTATTGCAGCTCCTGAGACTGAAGAAGCTTTTTGGGTTAAAGACGAATCTTTTCAAGAAAGAAGGATCCATCCACCTGGATTACTGAGCATGCATCAGGACGTTCAAACGGAAAGCTGCCACGCCTCGTCGCTACGAGACCTTTGCTCGGTTTAACCTTTAACTTTTTTGTCCTGGAAGTCTTGTCCGTTCTGCACAAACAGACAGAAAAAACAGACCCACGAGCGACAACATTTCCATAAAACCTCTTCAAAAACATGAATTATTAAAAAAAAAAGAAGATAAATCTCAACAATAAAATGAGTTCCTTGTATTTGATTTATTGTGTGAAAAATATTGGAAAAAAAAATTAATGGAAAAACTGGAATTCAGTTTTTTGATTTAATCAAAAATGAAGATTATTTTTTTTCGTTTGTGTCTCTTCAGACTTTGAAGATGAGGGTGTGGGTAGTCTTCCTCCTGTGCCTGGCCGGCCGCGCCTTCGCTGCCCCTGTGAGTCCGAGTCTTCCTGTCTTTGTGTTTGTGCACGAGGACTCGTGTTTACATGAGTGTGAATGTTTATTTTCCTTAAAGACAACTGTTCCCATGGGTGTCACAGGAACGTGCACGTCGTGTTCGTCTCACGCGTCAGATGATTGTCTGTCCGTCTCCTCCTTCACCTCTCTCCGTGTTTTTAGGCCGAGGAGGAGTACTTCCTGGAGGAGCTGGTCACTGAGGAGCCAGTTGTGGAGGTCAGTCCAGGCCTAAATGCGTGCGCTTGTGTGACTCACAGTTTGTTCTGGTCTTGATTTTTAAGAAACTCTAAACATTTTGCTCTCCTGGGAGTTGGACTCCGGTTTCTGGACCTTCTGAACCCGCAGCCAGAACGCTTCCTCTTAATGTTAATAAAAACAGTTTGCACGTTCTTTTCTAAGCGCAAAACTAAGGAACCAGATCCAGTTATTCCAGTGGATGGACACATATTAACACCAGTACAAGAATATAAATACTTAGGTATCATAACGTTCATTTAAGAATCATATTTTAAAAAATTAAGAAGTAAATCTTAATTTATACCATTTTAAACATATTAGGAATAATTTGACATTAGAAGCTTCAAAAACTATATTTAAACGTTATGATTCTTTCTCACGAGTTGGTCTCAGGAGAGTCGAACCACTACAACCAGTAGAAAAACTCTAGACTGAAGACTTTGGACAAATAAAACAACTTATTATCATCATTGTTAAATATTACATAAGTATGACTTTTTGAGTTGGGAAAACATGATCACGTGTTCAGACGTCATACTTGTACATAAAGTCCTTCATGGTTTGGCTCCACCACCACTAAAATACTTTGTCCAAGTACATTTACAACCAAACATAACTACAAGAGCAGCTAGCAGGGGAGTCGGTAAAATACCATTTAGAAAAAGTCGTCGTTTTCTGTTCGGGCTCCAAATTCTTGGAATAAACTACCATTAGAACGAAGAAATATTACATCGTTAAACTGTTTTAGGAAGCAATGGTTACTACAAAATCAAAATTCTACTCATGTTTTGAATAGTTCTTAAATCAACTTTTTACTTGTTACAATTTCCTTCATTTTTCTCCTTATGGTCGTGACTTTTCTTTCTTTATATAAACGTTTACTGTCAATTACACTACTTTTAGTTATATTTAAAATTGTCATAACTTATAGGTCATGTAAGTTGTCACGCATGTTAATTGTAATATTTTTAAATCTCTTACAGCAACCCGCTATGGGACTACAGATGAAAATTAGCCTCTCTGGCTAAATCTGGCATTTTTATGTGATTAATATGCATTGTCCCTTTTGTGAAATAAATTTAAAAAATGCTGCAGAAAGAACTCCATTCTGATCCGGCTCAGGTCAGAGCTGGAACTAATTCAAACTTAAGCTGTTTTTCAAATTTCTGAAGATTTAAAAAGACATTTTATTCAAATAGTAACATTTCCTTTTAGGGGGGGATATCCACCTGAAAGTCTCCATAAACTTCGGATATTCTCTCATTTTATAAATTACAGCTCGAAGTGTAAGGCTTTGAAGAAAACAAGATGTAGAAGAAGATAATTTTTTATCTGAACTGTTTGTGCAGAAATATCTTGTGAATTACTGAACAGATTTGTTGAAGCTTTCAGAAGTAACCTTTGGGTCGACATCTTCAGCTGACCGACTCGACAAATTCAAGATGGCCGCAACAACCAACTCCTGCCTCAACAGAAATGGATGCGCCTCGATGAATTTTACAGATATGAGCTAAAGTGTGGTGTGGGAGTCAAATCCTGAGAAATCCTAGAACGTTATTTTCGTGGTTTCACAAATACAGCAGTCCCTCGCGACTTCGCGGTTCATTTATCGCGTACTCGCTCCATCACGGTTTTTCAAAATAAGATTGGACATGACACACAAACGGCTGACTGATGGACGAGCTGCACGATCGGCATGGAGTTTTTATTTAAAATAAGTTATTTAAAATTATTTTGCACCTGCTGCACCTTTATCCAGCCCATGAGCTGCAGGAAAAGCGTCCTCCGGCACTTTTATGCAACTTCCTGCTGCAGCTGATCAGCTGTTCTCCGTGCAGAGCGTAGAAGTGGGCGTGGCCAAGAGCGCTGGCAAGTGGCTGATAGAGGGAAATCAGGCATGCTGTGCTCTTTTAGAGCGTTTAGAGTTTAGAAACATTGTTTAGAATATTGCAAGAGTGGTTTAAAATGCGTGTATATATATATATATATATATATATATATAAATACTAAACTAGACTGTACTACTTGTACTACTCCTTCTATGTCGTGGTTTTTCACTTATCACGTCTTCAAGGCACGGATCCCCCGCAATAAACGAGGGACTACTGTTTGTTTCTTTGTTTTTTAAGCAGCAAGTGATACGTTATTTTTAATTTAATCATCATTTTTTTTGACAACTTTTAGGTCAAACTTTAATTTATAAAGAAAAGCAACAGATGAAAATTTACCTTTTCAGTCTTGGAGGTTCAAAAGTTTAAAATGTATCAAAATGAACTTATTTCCTCCAAATTCCTCTCCATACGTGACGTTTGGATTCACGAGATCGTTCTTGTTCTGCTGTGAACGACGAAGAATAAAACAAAATAAAAAAATGCAACAAGAACTTTTCTGGTTTCCTGCTGCCGAGGTCCAGCGGGACCGAAGATCCCACAGCTGGTAATTTTAGCCACAGATGATCTGCTCAGGATGCTTTTAGAGTTTTTTTATTTTTTATGGTTTCACCACATGTGGACCCAGCTGTTTCTCACTGCTGGATATTATGGTCTGTCGGTCTGCGTCTGGACTTCAGGGTGGACCGTCTGCCCAACTTCAGAAAAGCCACGGGGCGTTAGGTGGTTTGCGTTTAAGTGGGCCATGTGCAGAAATAGACCAGAAACCGAATGTTTAACAGATCAGTTCTTTTAACTTCTTACGTATGCTCAGACCTTGACCTCTGACCTCTGTCGTTACCCAGGAGCCTGAGGTGGGAGCCAACCCGGTGCAGGTGGAGGTTGGAGAGTTTGACGAGGCCATTGATATTATTGAGGACGTTGATGCTGAAAGTAAGAGAACAGGAAGCAGCTGGAACCAAACCTCCTAACGAAAACTAAGCCTTACTGGTTTGTGGGGGAAAACGTTATCCCTAGTGGGTGGTATGTTTACAGAATCCAGATGTTTAGACATTTTTAAGCATTTAAAAAAATTAAGTCTTCCCCTAAAGTGGTTTATATGATGCTTTGTGTCTAAACAAACCAAACCATGAATTTCAACCCTCAAACAGCTCCAAACGTTTCAAAGATTGAACTAAATCTTCCTGCGAAAATCAAAAACTCACACTACGATGCTTTAAGACCAAACTTTATTAACATGCATGGAAATATGTGCACAGGTTTATGCACATACTAGAAACAGAGGGGGAAAAATGCAGTGTGAACGCTTACAGCATAAAAACTTGCTGAAAAACAGCTAAAATTAGCAAAAACCTGCTGAAATGTAGCTGATATAGAAGAACAAGTCTAAATTAACAGAAGAAAGCAAAAAGAGCACATAGTTGTTGAATTAGGTTTAAATAAGCAGAAATTAGCATTAAAAAATAGGAAATTAGCTAAAAATTGCTGAAAAGCTGAAAAGGCAGAAAAAAGCTTAAACTACCAGAAGGAAGCAGACAGAGCTGAAATGAACTAAAATAAAGTGGAATTAGCTGAAAAAGCTAAAATTAGCATAAAACAGCTATAAAGTAGCTCGAATAGTAGAAAAAGCTGAAACTTGCAGAAATCAGCGTAAAGGAGCATAACAAGCTGAAACTAGAAATAAGTTAGAAGAAACACAAAAATGTTGAAGTTAGCAGAAAGAATCTGAAAGGAGCACAAAACACCTGAACAATAACAGCTGAATTATCCGTAGCTGAAAAAAGTTTCAATTTGCATAAGGAAGCTGAATAAGAAGTTCCTTCTGAACTACCAGAGTGAAGTGGAAAGAGATGAAATAAGCTAAAAAAAAAAGTGGAATTACCTGAAAAGGTACAAAACAGAATCAAAAAGAGCTAAATAGTAGCTGAAAGAGCATAACATGCTGAAATTAGCATAAGTAAGTTAATTAAACTGAAAGAAGCAGAAATTACCACAAACTAGTGGAAATTATCTGGAGGAAAAAAAAGGCAGAAATAAGCAAAAACAGCTGAAAAGTAGCTAAAAAGGTAAAAATAAGCTTACTGGTAAATTAACAGACGATTAACAGACTTTTGGTATTGCACCAATACCAAAAGTCAAAGCAGGATTGTCCTGAAAGAGCTGAAAGTTTTTGATTTATGATTTGTTGAAATGGCACAAAAACTGTGAAAAGAGAAAGATGCAGAAAAGCGTACAGAAGAAAAACGGATCGCAATAGAGTGAATGCTTCATAAACGTTCACACAATAATAAATAAATTAAATCACTAGATTTAAACTTGACATAAGTGAAGTGCAACTGAAACACAGATTCACTGTGACCCTGATGTCTGACTGCAGACGGTGTTCGACTCCGCTGCGCTGCAGGGACTCGGTACCGAAGCTTCACGTCTTTCACAGTTTATTTGAGCCTCGAAGGAGAAAATCAAAGAGCCGTAATGACAGACTGCCTGCTTCTGCGAGCAAACGGCTATAATGACATGTTCCACCCAACTTTAGCAGGGAAATGAGCCACAGCCGAACCCAGAGAGCAACAAGAGTCCAGAACCAGCAGCGGTTCAGGCTGTTCTGTTGTTTATTTAAAGCCTTGCTATTCAAATGGAAAGTATCCATTAAACTAGAGAACAAAGTGGTTGTTTTTTTCAGATTAAAAAAAAAAAAACTAACAGCCCTAAATGTGAAACAAGAGCAAGAACTGAAGCGACAGATCACGACAAGATCCACAAATAAATGACAAAATCAAGTTTTATAACCACATTGTTCTTTTCTAAAAAAAAGTATTTAAATATTTAACTTTCCCTCTCCTTCTGTCTCACAGTTTTCAGCTTTAACAAGTTTCCACAAGCAATAATTTTCTGCAGCTGCTTCATTTAAGCTCCTTTAGCTCCTTTCATTCAACAGTTTCATCCTTTAACGTTTTTTATTTTAGTTTTCCGGAGGAGTTATAACAGACTTCAACTTCTGTATTCTTTGCACAGATGCTTGTGTCAACTATCCCTGCAAGAAGGGTAAAGTGTGTGAGGTGGATGAGGGGAACACCCCCATGTGTGTGTGCCAGGACCCCTCCACCTGCCCCGCAGCCGAGGGAGAGTTTGAGCATGTAAGCTAACCGACGGCATCCTTAAAGCTGAGCGTTCGTGTTATTTATTCATTTTTTGCACATATTGAGATATATGCATGTTAGCACGTACACTGTTTTATAAACCTCAACAAAAAGTTACTCTATAAAAGAAAAAAAAAATCCCATTTCTGCAAAATGATTTGTTTAAAAATAAAAGTACCGGTAAAAATGAAGAGCGGACTGGGTTTTCTTGTTTTAGATCTGCGGCACTGACAACAAGACCTACGACACCTCCTGCCACTTCTTTGCCACCAAATGCACCCTGGAGGGAACCAAGAAGGGCTACAAGCTGCACCTGGACTACATCGGGCCCTGCAAACGTGAGCGCTGAGACTCTGCACCGACACACGGCTCGATACAGTTCAGACATTTACAGAGACGGATCTTTCAAAATAAAAGTGAATGACTGCAGCAAACAGCAGTCAGAGGGATCTCAGTTTGAAGAGTCAGAGCAGGAACTTCCTGCTGTGTTAAATCTTAAATACTTCCTGGAGGGTTACGTTCAATTTTTTTTAATACAGTATCTTGTCAATTCTGCACGAGACTTTTTTTCTTTCTCTTTATTTTTTAAACTAACCGGCGTGTCACTGCTGCGCGGAGGCGGCTTCATCTAAAATGTAACTACTGTATTTTCCGCCATACACGTCGCACCACCGTATGAGTCGCATCAGTCCAAGTACGTCTAATAAAGTGGGGAAAAAACAAACACGTCGATTCGCCGTATTAGTTTTATCTATTATGTGTCACCGCTGACAAGTCGCGTTTGTTACGCGTTGTCATTCCCCGATCTGTTACGGAAACGATCCGTAGTGTAGCTCATTTGCGCATGCGCTAAAAGGAATACTTCCGGGTCGCACGGATCGCTGTTGAATATACTAGATTAAGGAAAATGTACTTGTATAATTCCTAGGCCTGTCACGATAACACATTTTGCTGGGCGATTAACTGTCTCAGAAATTATTGCGATAAACGATAATATCGTTTGAAATTTGATTGCCGGACATGGGCACCGGCGACCCTTGTGACCTAAAATGGAAGAAGCGGGTAAAAGATAATGGATGTATAGTAATTATTGTTAAATTTTAGAATAATTTTTTTATTTGTTTTGAGTGTAGTACCTTTTTTTGACCACTGGATGGCAGTATAAGACGGTTTGAACTGAAGGATGGATATCTAAAAAAAGTTAAGTCTGGTCCTCTGGTCATTCACAAAACAAAACAAAAAAAAAAATGTAGAAACGTTTCGTCTTTCATCCGAAAGACATCTGGATAGTGAGGGAGCGAGCAGCGTCTCTTTAAGAAAAATGGGAGGG